TTACTCCAAAAGTGGAACAAACCAGTTTTGTTGGTGCTAAGTTGGTCTCTTTGGTACGTCCCCTCCACCTTTGCCGGCCCTCTTCCTTGTTGACAGTCGTGTCAAACTGGTTGAAAACAACAAAGTCCATGCTCAGTAATCCAGGTATACAATAAGACAATAAGTGGTGAAAGTGACAACATAGGTATACAATCCAACATTTTTCAGTCAGGTCATGTGGACAGTTTCTTTTTATTGTGCTGAAACGTTTTGCCAACTTAGCACCAACAAAACTGGTTTGTTCCACTTTGGAGTAAGCTGTTGGGGGAAGAACCAGGTTTGTTGTGTGTTTCCTTGACTGATGAAGCCTTCTGGATCGAAGGTGAAACGTTTCAGCACAAAAAAAGAAACTGTCCAGATGACCTGACTGAAAAATGTTGGAACATAGCTTAAGTTACTTAGAGCTGTTGGTTAGTGCTGCATCGCAGCATGAAGGTCCTTGGTTTAACTCCCACCTATGTTTGTCTGCTGGAGTGCATGCTCTCCTCATGCATGTGTGGGTTCTCTGCAGAACAGTTCATGCTAAAGATCTCACACCATGAACCACATTAAACTTTAAGTCAGTATCTGTAAAAAAAATAAAATAAAATAAATAAACAACAACACCTACACTAGATAGTCACTATAATAAATATTTCATAATAATGGTGTGGAGAGGATGGCTGTAAGGGGAGAAGGGAGGCCATCACAAAAAAAAAAAAAAAAGTCAGTATCTGTAAAAGTGACTGAGTTGTAGCCATTTCTGTGATTTTTCTAGGTCTGCTGGCTGTGGCAGCCATCTTAAATCCAGTTGCCTCCCAAAGTTAATTAATTATGAAATTCATCTCTAAAATGCTAATTTTTATTTTATGTTATTGTGTGCTTGAGGGGCAGCTGTGGTGCAGTGGTAAGTGTTTTTTTGGACTGGAAAGTCACAGGTTTGACTCCCCACCATGTCCATATGTTGCAGTGCCCTTAAGCAAGACACCTCTTCCCTAACTGCTCCGTGGCAGCTTAAATATCTGCCCACAGCTCTACTTGTGTATCTCACGCAGGTGAGGGGTTAAATGTAAAGAACAGATTTCATCATCATATAAGCCAGGGGTCTGCAACCTTTTTGATCAAAGAGCCATTTCTGCCCCTTCACTCATTAAATAAAAAAAGAGCCCGAAGCCACGAAACCTGCTACAACTGTGATGATCAACTAACTTGAGCTAAACGGAGGGGGCTTTTCTAACGAGTGGGGGTGACATTTTAAAACTAATAATCAGTAATGAGTTTCAACATTTATGGATAATTTCACATTTTGAGACAACAAATAACTCAATGATGTAAAGAAGTAAAATGGTCAAAGCTTCATAGAGCCACAGATGAGGGACTAAAGGGCCACATGTGGCCCCAGAACCACAGGTTGCAGACCCCTGGTTTAAGTACCGTATTTTCCGCCGTACCCGTCGCACCGCCTTATAAGTCGCATCAGTCCAAATATGTCTACAAATGTGGAAAAATCCATAAATATGTCACTTTGCCATATACGTCGCATCTATTATGCATCACCGCTGACGTGTCGTGTTTGTTACACATCACAGCTGACAACCCGGAAATGTGGGCCGGTAATGACCCAAAAATCAAAGGCATGCCGAATGGTAGCTACGGGAGCGTGCACGGGAGGACTTTAACAAGAATTTAACAAGGTTCACACTTAAAAACAATTATTTGTTTGCTCTTAATTATAGTGTCTCAGTCTAATGTTTGCTTAATAAAAGACTACCGGTCAAATCAGCTGTATTTCAAACGTATTCGATGCCTCGGTGCTCCGGGAGCGCGCAGAGAGAGGGGAAAAAAAGGAGGAACGCTGTCCGTTTCTTTGAAATTTACCAAGAAAAGCGCCTTAACAATTATTTGTTTGCTCGAAGTTACAGCAAAGGTGTGTCTCAGTTGAACTTTTACTTAATAAATGCACTTTAAGGGTCAAATTAAATGCATTTGACCGGGGCGGTGCAGCTGTTTTGATGGTTCCAAGCAGCAACCAGAATGAAGGTGGGAGGACTAGGGCAAGCTGATTGTGTCATTAATAGCTGGTGAAGATTCTCAGTCATCCAGGACATGGTAAAGTCAAAAAAGTTCAAGACAAAAACAATAAAGTATAAAGTTTAATAAATAAAGTCCAGTTGTTTTTGTCTTGAATTTTTTTTGAATTTGTCATTATAGCCACGTTTACCTATTACATGATGCAATGGCATGCCTTACCACTATAACTACTCTGCTGCCATCTAGTGGCTGAAAGTGGTACTGTTCAATTTTTTTTCTGTCAGATTGAATGAAAACAGTCATATCTCAGCCAAAAATTGGTTTATAAACATGGGAAAAAATCCATAAATAAGTCGCCTCAGCCTGTAAGTCGCAGGGTGTGTAAAATATGCAAAAAACTGTGACTTATAGGCAGAAAATTATGGTACATGCAGTGATGACAACACACAGCACTTTTTTCTAAAGTTCTTTTACAAGATTTTAATTTGAAGTTAAAGACTGTGACTCTGCAACTTTTATGTTTATTCATATTTTTTTTCATTCAACCTTTATTTAGACAGGTTAATCCCATTGAGCCTCGGGGACTCATTTACAAGAGAGACCTGATTTCTTAACAAAGAGTGATGACAACAGTGAATAACAACAACAATAGACAGTCATATATATATATATATATACAAATTAATTTGATTATCTGTGAAAGAGGTCTGAAAGTTGATGAGAGATTACCTGCTCCTATGTTTCCTCTCAATTAGCTGTGGCAGCCATCTTGAATCAGGTTGACTCAAAAAGTAATATGCTGTAAATGTATGTTCAGTGATTCAGGGTATCATTGAAATCTGTCCAGTGTTACACACACCCAGACAATTACATTACCCCCCACCTTTCTATGTTGGTGATGAAGTTTAAAGCAGAAAAACTGAAGCATGAGAGGTGGAAAAGTGTCCAAAAAGAGTCTCCCCCAGGTACAATCTGCAATTAGCAGCAGCTGAACCGGACTCGCTGCTCCGTGGTGCAGAGACCTACATGACAGTGTTTTTTAAACTGAGTCTGGCCCTTAATTGGATCACAGTGTTGCTTCTGGTGGGTCCTCAAACGTCAGGCGCTCCAGTTTGTTTTAATCAGCAGAGGTCTCAAAGCAAGACTCGATTTACACAATTTATGCCTGAGCTGAAACGGTTTGCTAAGCGTGGCTATAAAAGTGCACCGTGTGTGTGTGAGTGAGTCGCTGTCAGCCCAGTTCGGTGGCCGAGCCAAGGCCAGCGACTGGCAGATCCACTGGGAGGCAGATTAATGTGGCTCGGCAGGCCCCGAGAGCAGACGTGTTTGACGTTAATGCTCCGCTGTATATTATCCAGCTCGCAGACATGCTGGATGTGAGCGATGGGATCCAAGGACAGGGATGTTTAGGTACTAATTACCAAACAGCAAGGCACAAGTCTCGCTCCATATTTCCTTACTCCTGTGGAAACACAAGGCAGGCTCCATTTATTTTCCTTGACTGTTGTTTCTGGCACGGCAGCGTCTCGGTAAACACCGCTCGCCCACCATTGTAAATCCGACAGGCGCAGATCTTTCAAGTTAGACTCCTTTGAGGAAAAATGGAGACAGATCGGATGGCGGCGCTCGGGTTTTCCGTCTTAATGAGAGAGTGGAGAAGAGGGATGGCGTTTGATCCCTGGCATGGAAGCCTCTATTTAAGCCTGTCAGCGGTCATCACTCTCTCTCGGCTCTGGATCTGGAGAAACAAACCTGCACCGCTGGACTCGATCAGCTCAGTCAGACCCACTTTAACCCTTTTTTCCCCTGCAGCTACGTTTGCTATCTCTTCCCACCAGCTTGCGAGTATCCATTCTGATTGATCACCTCAGTAGAAGAAAATAAAAAAAGACACGGCAGAAACAAATCTGTGAAAATATCGTTTTATTTGCAGAGCTTTGCTTTGAGCAAGCCTCTCGAGTCATCATGCTCCAATTTCATATCATGAGTTTGTCCAAAACCATCCAAGAGCCTCGTGGCTCTGCGAGGAAGTCTTGCAACGAGCGACGCCAAGCCAAACACAACAAGCCCCCAAGACACGTTTCCATTCTCCCCTATTTAGAAACTTTTAAACTTCAACTTTTAGGTTGAGGAATCGTAGAGAAACGGGGAAAATCCTTCTGTTGGAGGGCTAGAGGGCTTCTCACCGTCGTGGACCTGGCCTGGAAGATGCTTTTCATCGCAGCACTAATGGCTCTACCTAATCAGGCCTGATTGGGACGGCTAAATAAATAGTCTCTCCATTTAAAACATCATGCGGTAACTTAAGACAAAATCAATACCCGGCCTGAATACTTACAGCTCGAGGCCAAACAAATGTCTTAGCTCTCGCTGCAGTGCATTTGTCATAATATCAGCGACACTGGCTTGGATTTCCGATTCGTTCTAATAGAGGCATAAAGCGGAGTAGTTTTACACATTTTAAAAAGGGTTGGATGCAGCAGGTTATTGCACACAAGCAAATCAGACACAAAGGTTGTTCTAATCTCTTAAAGGGGTAGTCAGGGCATTTTTTGAAGAGATATTCTGCCAAATAGTTATCAATAATTAGCACTTTATCAGTTGAAGGGCACAGAGTGAGGAGGGATAGGCAAAAGTCTTCGCCCAGGCTAGCTAAATGAGAGCTAATAGCTAAAATTAAGCTAACCTAAGCTAATAATAAACCTGATTAGCGTGCTTACTGGTAGTCAGTCCAGACTGATACATTGACCAGCCTCTCAGCACCAGCGGCATATAACGGTCCTGCTTAGCACATGTGCAAACATATAAATCAGGGGTTCCCAACTCAGGCCCTTGAGGAACACCATCCTGCATGTTTTAGTTGTTTCTCTGCTCCGACACTCCTGATTTTAATAAATGGGTGATTAACAGGCTTCTACAGAACTTGATGAAGTAATTAAATCACTGACTTAGGTGTGTTGGAACAGGGAAACAAACTAAAACATGCAGGATGGTGTTCCCCAAGGACCGGGATTGGGTACCATTGATTTGATATTTGCTAAGGTAATGTTCTTTCATACCAGTATATCAACTTTTTATTTTTTTTATTATGTTTTGTTTAGCCTAAAAGACCACTTATGTGTTTTCCTTTAAACTCTGTGCACTTTGGCCAATGACAGTTGTTTGTTACTGTGCTATAACAAAAATCTGATCTTGATACTCGTGTCATGGCTCATAAGGTGCTATCTGACTGAACATCATTTCAAAGATGCCCAGACTCTCCCATTACAGGCCTCTCTGGATGAGTTTTGTTCATTTAAATGAGCATTTATACCTATTTTCCAAAAAGAAACTCAAATTTTCAGGAATCTGAGTGAATCTCAAGACGTGCACAAGCGAAAGGGAAGAAAAACAAAAGCGTACAGCAACACTTGTAATGAAACTGCAAAGTGGAGCGCTCAACGTCAGAAAGCGTTTAGCATTAATCATCAATCACAGATGAAACGAGGTGTCTCCCCAGGAGCCGGAGCTAGATAATAAACACAGGAGTCAGACTAGACTTCTGCGGGCTTGGGAATAAATAAAGTGAATGACCTTGACATCAGCAGCTAGTAAAATATTTGGCTGTGTGGTGGAGTTCGTATGAAAGAGAGCTTTGTGTTATGAGAAATAAATACAGACAGACACAATCGGGTTTGAGTGAAAAGAGTTTTGTCAGAGGTTTCAAGGCAGCAGAGCTTTTGAATCGCGTTTGATTTATCTTGTGCCTCACTTCTTGTTTTGCCATGTCTGCCTGTGTGATTGAAATACCATATACAGAGAGCGCTGAATTATTGCAATCCATCACATCTGGAGCTGGAAAGAGACATCCGACCTGTTTGCTATGACAGACAAAGATCTTGTGTTTCTGAAAAATGCCACAGGAGAAGACTTCAAAAAGACAATCATATGCACAGAATGTTCAGAAGTGTATTTCTTTTTTCTTTTTCTTGCGTGCTGCTCATTTATTTAGCTGCAGCTGGGATCAGAGGTCGGCGGAGTTATTTGGCCATTCTCCTCGCCACGTCTTTGTAGGCGTCCTCGATCTCAGAGTCGGCAGCGCAGGTGTTGGTGAACTCTTCTCGTGAGTAGGCATTGTTCAGATACCGCCACACCCCCGTCATTTCCAATGGGATGTCGTAGTTGCGATACTTCTTAGTGACAACCTGGACGAGACAAGAAAGCAATGATGAGGCAGTCTGTGATGTTTGAGATCACAAATGCATTTGAAGGTGTTTCAAGAGGCTACATTTTACATTTTTGCACATGGCAACATTGGAAATTAGGAAAAATATTATTGACCAATTTTAGGGTGAATAAAGTGCTAGAGTAATAAAACGGCTATACCATTTATTTATATCTAAGATGGTGAGAGAACTACACGACAGCTGTGTCTACTTCATTCCAATTCTTTGCAGGATGAAAAGACTTATGGGGAAAAAAGAGCGATAAAAGGTGAATATTCAGTTCCAGTCTCCCCCAGTTCTCATTGTTTACGACCAATTACCAGAGAGTTGTGCGATGATGTTTCATGTGGTCAATTTTAGAAACTTGTGGCTTATTTTTGTGTGCACAGCTTTCAAAACTGTATTCTAAGTGGTGCACATAGTTTCACTGCCCATCTTCAGCCATGTCGTATACACATCGGCCTGCTTCGTATCATCGGCAGCTTCCCTTGATGAGAATGATTTAAGATACTGGAGTACATTTTTTAAAATAGACAGACCAATCTGAACCAGTTCACAAGGTTCAAGGTTCTTTTGTGTCATTCACATCACATGTGGTACATGAGGTGGAGCGAAATTATGTACTCAAGGTCCCAGTTACACCCAAAAATTGCAAAAATATAAAGTATACAAAGAAACAGTATACAAGTATCTAAGTCGATATACGCTCAAAAAACTCTAAACTTCCTGTGAACAAGAAGCTCTGCTCTGCCCCCCGCCCCCATCCCCCACCCGAGGACATCTGTGGACCTATATCAGAGTTGAGCTGGCTGATAGACACTGTGCCGTCTTTATCAGGACTAT